TAAAAGTATGCATTTGTTTGAATAATGTGATATAAACTAATTTGTTGTTTTTTATTTAAGGCATTTATGCAGCAGCAAAAGAGGCATTCTCTGCTCTAGGACCACAGTGCAAAAATTGGCTGAACAAAACTGTAGCCATGGGAGCAGATGGGGCAGCTGTAAATCTTGGGACACAAGCGGGGAGTAATATCCCTTGTCCAGGCAGAGGCAGGGAACTACATTGTTCCTTTCCATTGTATGCCTCACAGGTACGTAAACATGAAGCTAACTATCAGTCCTATACATTTCTTGGGTAGCCTTTTCTGATTACACTTTTCTGTGTAGGCTTGATCTGGCTCTGTTGTCAGTGCAAAAGGAAAACCCAATGATTGGGAAAGTTCACAACCTCCTCAATATGGTTTGGAAAGCATACCATTTCAGCAGTAAATCCATGAGGGAGCGGAGGGTCCTTGGGGAAGACCTAGGCATAAGAGTGAATTCCCCAAGTGGAGTAAAAGGAACGCGCTGGCTACCACATGTGTCTAGATCTTTGGAGACACTGTTAAAACTGGAGAGAGAGGAGGTTATCTTCAGGACCCAGGACAGTTTACTGCAGTCTATGTGCACATGGACCACTTGGCCAGTGCATCAGCAAATACAGACATTGCTGGAAGGGCCAAAAAGGTAACTACAGTATTTGTTGAAATGTAATTATTTTTATTTTTTTGTTGTTTATCATTATTGACTGCAATTTAACTTTTGGTTAAGGAAGTTTTCTCTTTGGTGCTGTATTTCAGATCAAGAAGACTATGGAGGATGGAACTTTTGTAGCCTTCTGCCACTTTCTTGCTGATGTTTTTTTCTGTGATCAGTCAGTTTAGTTTACTTTTGCAAAGAAATGAAGTCATTCTACCCCAGGTAATACTATGTGTGATACAAATTATAACTTAATAAACAATCAAAAAACCACCATATTAATAACCTGACCCAACAGGCTGTCAGTGGGGTTCAAAACCTCATTGTGAACATTGAAACAATGGCAGTGAGACTCAAACCAGGAGGAAGACTCCAGCAACTTGTAACAGACATGCAGCAGCAAGAAATGGCACACAGTTCTACAAGTTTCAGAAGTACCATTCTACAAGTTTCAGGTAGTTATCCCATTTATTTTAATGTAACATATGCTAATAATAATAAACAATAAGTGTTGTTGTTTGATTACATAATCAGTGTAAATTAATATTATAATTTCAGGATGTCCCACTTTCGTATTGTGAAGCCACAGTGCTGGCAGAAAATGAGAGCATCTACATCAAATCTCCACAACTGCATCAGGGAGTAAAAGATATTGTGAATTCCACTAAGCACCTTCAAAACAGATTTGGTAGCCTTTTAGGTAATAAGTTTTTCTTTATTGGACATTCTGCAGTATCAAAAGTATTACAATTATTATCATTATTATTTTTTTTTATTGTTCAGGCAGTAAAAGATACTGTGAATTCCACCATTAAGCCCCTTAAAAACAGATTTGGTAGCCTTTTAGGTAATAAGATTTTCTTCATTGGACTTTCTGCAGTAAGTATTACAATTATTATTATTAATTTTTTGTTTGTTTGTGCTGACAGGCACAGTGGGAAGCATGCATGAAACACCTACTGCCAAGCACCTACAGCAGTGAAATGCTTCAACATCTTTAATCATGACTCCTGGCCAACTGAGAAAGAGAAACTCTTGGACTACGGTGCAGAAGAGCTTGATTTTCTGCTAAAGCATTGCTCTCCTGTCCTAGAAAGGTAACTTCTATGGAGCTGAGCCAATCTCTTAAGAATAGCCTTGATCGGGTTGTGTTAGCCACAGTGTTAACTGTCTCTCATTTTATTTTTAGGAATGGATGTGAACAAGATCTAGCTAAAGAGGAGTTTCAGGCACTGAAAACAATGATCACAGCCTCTTTCATGGATAAGAGCTACCTCGGACTGTGGGACATCATGCTGTCTAAGGAACCATACTGCTCTGACTACAGTATTTACATTTTTTTTATAATAATCACAGTTATGCTGTTACTTAAAGCATTGTTCTCACAACCATCTAATCGGTCTTCTTCTTTAGAACATCCTTCGGTTAGTTCATATTATGTTGATGCTCCCTGTGTCCTCTGCTGTGTGTGAGAGGGGCTTTTCAGCACAGAAGCGGGTCAATTCTGATGTGAGGTCATGTCTCAACCCAGACACAGTGGAGGACCTCATCAGAATAAGTATAGAAGGCCCAGAACTAGAAGACTTCGATGCCAGGGAAATTGTTAAGGAGTGGTTGTCAAAGGGAAAGAAGGCCAAATTACAAGTCCTGGCCAAATTAATTCTTCAGACTTCAGGGAGACTTTCTGTAGTTA